AATGATTGATTGTAACAGATGAGACAATGCATCTCTAGAGAGGAAGCAGAGGCTTGAGCAAGGGCTTTAGCTTAGGTGTGCTTGACCACTAGTCAAAGGTTGCCCTCACAGGGTAATTGATTTTTAGTCTGTGACTGGATACGTGCTTGGAATAACACTGACATCAGTCTTAAATTCAGGCAGTTCTTTGTATGGACATAAGCAACTCAATACTGAAAAATAAAAGGCTGATACTGAGTTTTGCAGCACAATGACACTGAATTAGAATTCTAGCAGAAAAGTTTTACAGAGTTTGACCAGCTCTTCTGAACTAGGACATGTTATTTTTCAAGAGAAAGGTGCATACCTGTCCTAGCATGAAGGCACAAAGATCAGTTTTGCACTAACAGAAATTTATTCTTTTTCTCTTGGGTCCTTGGCCTCATGGAAAGGGAAGATTCCAGGAAAGTAGAAGGGGAAGGAATGAAGTTGTTGCCTTGTGTTCAGAGCAGTGAGTGCTGCACAGATGTTTCTAGTGGAAGAGTATAGGATCATGGAAGTCTAATCTATGCTGCTGCATTTCTGATCTTGCCAGGAAAATATAATGTAAGACATCCTTGAACCAGGTCACTGTTGCTGTGTCTTGTGACTTCCTTCCACATTCAGTTCAGGAAGATTTCCGGCTAAGAGAGGTTGAACTGCAGGGCTTTGCCCCTTCTCCTGTATTTGGTTTCGCAGGTATTGAATTTCTAGCTGCTGCATTTCTATGATTTTCTCATTTTCCTTCTCTGCATTCAACCTCAGGACAGCTGGGCTGGGCAGCGGCTCACTGGAGGGAGCTAGAAGGTAAAATCAGAGAGAACAAGACAGAGTAACAAAGGTCCAGCTTGCAGGGTTCTTTGGCATGAACAAGGAAAGGCATCTTTCAGGGCTGAAGTAGTAGAGCTACATAGTAATATTCTTCACTATTTAACAGCTTTTACAGCTAACAGGTTGTAAAATATAAGAGGTATCACCAAGCAGGCAAGCTTGGAGAGAGTAAGAGAACTGTTCACCAAGGACAAAAAGGGCTTCTGGAATGAGTATTGACAATATGGAAAACATACAAGAAGCATTATTCACCTGTGTCTTGAGTTGCTTCTCTTTTCTTCATTAATTTTAGCGTTGACTCGAGGTCACGTAGCTGGGTGAGGGCTGCCTTCAGTTCTTGCCGCAAGTCATTAATTTCCTTAATCAGACTCATGTTTTCCTGCAAAAACAATATTCGCTATGAGGAAAAGCACAGGTACTATCTGGCTCAGCAATATGTATCTTCATATCACTGGGAAGCACACTGGACAGTATAGAATCAGTATCACAAGCAGAAAGTACAGGGCAATCAGGACAGTACACAACATTTCAGATAAGGCCACAGTAGATTTGATACAAAACATGACAGTATTCAAACTATATTAGCTAAATAAACTAATATTTGTTTTGCTTTCCTAACTGCAGCTGCACTCCAAGGTATCCTCTTCCTTGCAAGTTTCAGAGGAAAGCTCAGGTCCTTTCCTGGTTTGATCTAATTAATTCAGAAATAGTAGGAGGAATTTCCATTTCTCCCTCCAGTGTTTATTATTTTGCTTTTCATTTGCCACTACATGTCTGTTCACTTTTAAATTACCTGTACCTCCTTGCAGATCTTCAAAGCCCTCTTCATTAGTTCTGACAGATAGCACTTTCCAATATCTCTTGCAAATTATTAAGAAATATATAAAGCATATAGAGACTTGGGGAATCTTCTGCTAACATGCTGTTATGAGGAAAGATTAGCTATGTTTTCATCTTTTTTTTTTTTTTTGACAGTTTTCAACCCATAGAAGTTCAATTCTCTAATTATTTTTTTTAATAGCCTACCACAAAGCGTTTTGCTGAAGGAGTTGTGAAAGTACAAGTGAGTGTACTTTACCCGTGTTGCAACAGATTCAAAAACTTCAGCAGAACCAGTATGGGCTAATGCAGGACGATAAAACTGTTTCTCATGATCCAGACACAGGAGCACAATTAACTAAATGTTTCTTTTCTGAATTAAAGAGAAGTGGAACTGTATATTTGCCTCTTACAAAGACAGTGAAATACCTTATCACATCAACAGCTAGTCCAAATGTTAAACAGCTGCCATTATACTTTAACCAAGAATAGCAATGCTTTCAGCTACCTGTGGTGAGTTTTTAGGTTTGGAACACAGCATGATTTCAACCCATGGAACTTCATCATAAATGTCAATATTTTAAAAAGATAAATGGCCCAAAGGCATGCTTTGGGTACCTCACATAATGCCAGTCTCAAGCAACAGGGAACCCACTAGAACAACAGTAGATAAGAACAAGGATTAATGGCATTTTCCTATGAAAAAGCTGTCTTCAAATCTTGATATTTTTTTAGTGAGAATTTTGGTTTATAGAGATAATTATGTTGCCATAAGATTTACACAAGACATATAATTTGGTTCTTTACAGTATACTGCCTGGCTAGTAACAAAGTACAATGCTTATCGCAATTATCGACATAGAGGCGCACTCAAAGAGTTCAAGTTGGCAGCAATAACTTTAGGTGCATGTGTGTGGCAAGATTCTCAATACTTCACACTAAGACAAGCACACCAACTGTGCATTAGTTTCCCCTCAGCTGAAAGTCACTGACTGGAGGAAGATCATGGGATGTGTTAAGGTCTGAACTTGCTGGGCAAGAGCAGTTGTTCTTGCAGTGGTTGTGTTTGACTCTAAATGCAGCAGGAGCTGGTGAGCCCAGGCAGCCTACTCTGAAACCATAATATTTTGTTGACTCTGACTTGTTCATTTCAGGTCTTTAAACACAGACGAAATTTAACTGCTACGTGTTTATCCCCAAGCTTGATCCTGAAAGGAACACATGAAAAGGATAATTGCCAAGAATCAATCAAGGTAATTTTCTTTCGTCCAGCTTTCAGGGTTAGGTCACAGCGTTTCTGTTTATGTGTACTTTAGTCACAAACAACTTTGTAAGTTCACTCCAAGTGGTTGCATGCTGCTATGAAATGAAGATAGCAAGTCCCTGCAGTGCAGACTGTCAAAGACAGGGAGGACATATTATAGAAAAGATCATCCTAGTTTACATGCTTCAGTTCAAGCAGAGTTACTTCAAGATTATTCAGTGTATCTGTTCTTATGTATCCAAGTGACCAAAGAAGCCGTTACAAATACAGAAGGCTAGAGAGAAAACTAATAGTCTAACAACAAGCAAGTTGCCAATTGGTAAGAATAATTAAAACTATCTTGACAGTTCTGATCATCTATTGCAGCAGTCACTAGTGGAATATACCTATGAATAGTCACTCAAAGAGGAATGCACAGCTCTGAAAATGTAAGCACAACTGAGGAATAATAGAAATACAGAGCTAGAAGGCCATCAGGATGTCATTTACTTTTTCAAAGCAAGTCCTTACAGAAGTTTGTCTTAACTAGTCTTAAAAGCTGCCTGAGAAGGACTGGAAGACCATGATAATTCCTCTTGGCTGTAAAGTCTCATTAATGTACTAGACTTCAGAGAATTGCTTTTTCTTTGAAGAAACCAGGCAGGTTAGAACCTTTGATATCTTCATCTTCCAGATGTTTTATTAATTCAGTTTTAATCATCATTTTATGCTAGGCTTACTGATCCGAGACATCAAGTATTATCATTGTGAGCACCATCTGTCACCCTCTTTCAGCAAGGAAATTCTTCAGGTTATTTTTTGAAGCCATCTCCTTTGGTGTGAAAGGAAACATCTAACTCACAGAGGAATAAAAAAAAACTAAAACAGGGCCAGGGAAGAAGGTCGCTGCTGCCTAGACCTGGAGAAACACTATAAATACATGGCAAAGAGCAGATGACTTAGGAGGGGACTGAGGTCTAATGATCCCGAGGAAGCAAAATAAAGTAACAATGAAGAAAGCGCTAGTGAGGGGAAAAGGAAATGCTGACTGAGCAGAAGGAGATCATGGTAAAAAGAGACTGTAAAAAAGCTGTCCTCCTAGGATGTTTGGTGTGGGGCTTTAGATCCTCTCACTGCAAATGAAAACAAATTGGATCTTTGGCCCCAGCAGTCACAAGTTCACCTTGCCTTTTACGGAACAAAGTTTCTGAGCAAGAGATCTTTGTATGAATAAGCATATTCATCATACGGTTCTGAACTTCCTTGCAAATCTCAATGTGAAAAGCAGAAAGTTCTGAATTCCGACCAGTAGGTATGGGAATATGTGGCCAATATTTTTTAAAGAATTATTTTTCTTCCTCCAAAGTTACCTCCTAAACAATAACACACAGCAAGTACAGCTTGGCACTCAGACAGGTACAAACTAACTGTGATGGCAACTCTAAATACTGTTGGAAATAAATTGCTTAAAAAGTATCCAGGCAGCAGAGATTCCTTATCTCCTTTTATACCAGGGAGTGGGAAATAAACTAAAGTATCCACAAAAGAGCAGCAATTTCTGACTTCAGAGATCTTGCTCTTTTTGTCCAGAAAATTATAAAACTTTAGTAGCTAAATGAATATTGTCATTGAACGGAAGAACTTGAAAAACTTAGGAATTTCTGGTGATGGAGTAGATCAAAACTGTTTCAAAGTCCTAAGAAACCATAGTGGTAAGCTTGCTAAAGTCTCTTTTGTGCAGCTGCTTCCTTTTTATCTCTCCATACCACAAAGAAAAGGCTTATTACCTGCATAATGTGCATGTAAGCACCTCGATGGGTTTCCTGATTCTTCACCAACTTCTTTTTTAAAGCTGCCAAATTCCTCTCGAGATACTCTCGCTGTCTCATGCACTCGGGCTGCAAATCTTTTTGTGCTATTTCAATCTCTTCCTGAGGAGGCACAGCATGTTGTCTTAGTAATTACACTACCAGAGAAATTCATCTGCAAGGAGAAGGCAAAGGCCCCTACTCACCAAGTCTGATTCTTGCACGTACTTGGTGTAGAGCTCCCGGATCTCATTCTTCAGTTTTTTTGGTTCCTGAATGAAGCCTGCACAATTATGAAGGTCTCCTTTAAATCGTTTGATGAGAGCTTCCATATTTTGCTTCTGCAAGAATGATGTAGGTACATTTTTATTTGGCTCAGCAGAGCACTCCACCATGTGCAATTTTCTAGGAAGTCTAATAGAGCTGGTGAAAGCTCTCATATACTTTACTTCTACTTTCTTAAAAAAAAAAAAGTCATAAAAATAACAACGGGGGATATAAGTACTACATTTTTAATAGCAGTGATAAGTTTCAGCAGTAATAATAATCCAAGATACTCGCATTCGCTAATATAAGTGCCAGCATCCATAGATCTCATCTGAAAACCAGTGGCTATCATGCATGCTATCCCCCGACTGTCCTGTCCAAAACAACCTACATTTTTATTTATAAACATGCAAACAGTTAATGAGAGAACACAAGGCACTAAGTACCTATCAATCAGACACATGCACAACTTAATGATTTCACATCAAGATTGCCTTCTCCTTCTCACTTGGTTTCAACCAGGCTCCTCTACCTGCTTCCTCAGTCCTGCACTGCCTGTTAAACTCCTTCCCTTTCAGTTTTCCTCCCTCATGTCTGATGTGCTTGTTGTCAAAGAGAAGGGCTCCTTGTCTCCTCCATTAATAAGCCCACCCTTCATTTCATCCTACTAATACCTACATAAGAGATAGGTAGTAGTCTATATGCTGCTCCTGTTTAGACTGAGTGTTCCCAGATTTCAAGCTTGGGCAGGAAAGGGTAGTGAGTTAAGCATTTGCCTCACTGCTCTGTTAAACCCAGGAGACTATGTGTTGATTGAACAAACTGACACATAATTAGTAGGATTTTTTTAAACATCAACTCTCTAACCTGGTTGCAGGACTGGAAGTTTTCTGGTTTTGTCCCCACTGACCAGAGACTCTCCTGGTCCTTGGACACAGTATCCCTGAAGTACCTGTTTGCTCAGATTAATGCTTCTGCAGTGTTCTGTCCCCACAAACATCATTATGTAGGACCTGCACAGTGGTTGTACCCCGTACCTTCTGCCTCTCCCTATGCATCTCATTATCAGTTGCCTTTAGTTTCTGTTGCAGTTGTGTGATATTCAGCTTCAACTGTGTGCTCTCCTTGTGGAATCGTTCCAGCTCGCCCTCCATCTGAAAGGAAGCAGGAGGAGGAAATGAGATCTAAAAGGAGACGTGAAAGAACAACACAAAACAGGAAAACCAGAGACTGGAAACAGGATTGAGGGAGTAGATCCCCCTTAAGGTTGAATTACAACATGAAAAAGTATTTTGGAACAACACTGCCCTCTGTCAGAACATACAGGAAAACACAAAAAACCGATATTTAACTCCCATTTGAATTACAGGTATTTGAGTGATGGGATGCCCCTTTATTTCTTTGAGCTGAACTGAAGCTTTGCTGTTCCATCTGAATTAAAACGTTTGTGTGAGATGGAAATTAACAATCAGTGCTGGAAAGAGTAAGTGCAACAACAGCAACCACCTGATACTGAAAAGAAACAAATGCACTGAAAAGTTGTGGGTACTTACATAAAACACAGGGGAAAAAATCAATGAGGGTACTACAGCATTTACTAGCATAAGATGGTGACTAGAAGAGAAACAGGGCTTTCATCATGCTAGTCTGATGCACATAAAATTGTTAATTAATTTGCATTTTATTTAAAAGGCTTTTGTTCTGAATAAACAGATTTATGAAAACGAATAAGTCACTGATTAGCTGATCTAAAGGTACATCTATGGAGAGATAACGGTAAGTTTCTATCATAAATAAGTTGCCTCAATGAATTTGCTGCAAGCTAAGTATGAATGCATGCAATTTTTCCATGGATCAGATGATGAACCATAATTTGTCCATGTGCCTAACCCCTAAACAGCTATGTTTGCATAAATCTGCAACTATTCTGAGAGAAGTTCACTCTCTCTTCCTCCAGATCAGTAAAACAGGCAGTGTCTCTCAAGCTGTAGAGGGTACGTGGACAAGATCTATTTTTAAGCTAAACTGGTATTACTCAGAACTTAGAATTGAATACTGAAATAGGAGTTTAAATAACTGTGTCTATCACTGGTAGCATATGATAGAAAACTAAACATCAGCTATTGTGCACAAATATTTTTATTAGCTGTAAAGATATTGAATCAGTGCTGTGTATCCTTGAAAAAAGTCAAGAAACAAACAGGGTGGAATCTTCCATGGGACTTGCATTCAGACAAAGGACTTAGTAGCAGAGGCCAAATGAGAGTGTAACTAACTCACCTCATAAATGTGCTGCTTCATTATTTTAATATCATTTCCACGTGCCTCTATTAGCTTCTTCAACTCCGCTATTCTGTGATCCAGTACAAACTTGCACTTTTCCAGTTCCTGGTTTTTCTTTTTTAGGTCATATATATGCTTCTCCTGGTAGAAACAGGTACAGATGTGAATCAGACACAGCACTCTCAAACAGACCCCAGACCAAATATGGTAGAGGCAAGACCAGCAGTCACAGATCTAGTGGAAGACTGAACTTCAGTTGCACATCTACACAGATTGGGTGGGAAGGGAGGGGCAAATTGTGCAGAGAGCCAACTACAGATCCCAGAACAGGGGATGAGAAACTCAACATCCTGAACTTGAGCTCCCCAAGAAAATCTTAAAACGTTAGCTAAAAATTAAAATCCTAAACTAAAGATTGCAAATTCTTTCAGTTAAAACTGTTTCCAGTCATGTGATACTGCCACAACATGATGCTATTAAAATAAATACCTGTATTAAATTAAGAAAGGGTGATTGTGATCTCAGAGAATTGTCCTGTTTCTCACCTTGTCTTGGATAGTGTCAGTTCTCTCTTGAATCTCGTTCTTCAGTGCCAAGATGTCCTCTTCCAGAGACTTAATGGTGCGTTGCAGCTTCTGCTGCGCCAGTTTCATTTCCTCAATGTACTTGTTCCGCTCCTTGAGCTCTTTCTGTAGGCTATTCAACTAGAGAGGCAAACAAGTAAGAACTTCACAGTCTCCAAAAACCTGTGCACTTAGCCACCCTACTCCACATGATACCTTGTAGACAGTATGGGAAAAAAATATCTAAAAACCTAAGATCTGATGAAGGAGCATCACATCACTTAAATACCTGTAACTCAAAAGGGAGTTGATTACTTGTGTTTGCATTTTCTGTATATTCTGACAGAATACTCACTGCAGTACGAGGAATCAAGGAATCTGCACCCAGAAGCAAGAAGGGTATGGATATTATACCTAAGCACCAGCTTCAAATAGCACTCAAGCCATGGAAAATTAAAGGTGATCATTTGTCATACACCTCTAAAGGTGTCAAAAGTAGATGGGAAAGGTGCCTAGTTCATAGCTTTTGGGTACCCTCAAAATCCCCGCCTCAGTACTAAGATCTGTGAAGCCAAGAAATTTGGAACCAAGGAATGGTGCTGGTCAGACTGTGAGGGCACATGAAGAAACTCCTGGTGTCTAAAAGACAACGAAACTGAAGGCAATACTATCAGCACACAGCTTCTTCTACCCAAATATTCTAAACATTCAAAATGATATATGAAGGGGCTACTGTTCTCATATAAAATGCCATGTATTTACAGACTAAATTAACAGACTAATTTGATATGTCATTCATCACATTCAATCCTTGGCTATAAATCTCCAAGTGCAGGTCTGATCCTATCACAGAATAAGAAATACCCTTTTATTCATGACTCCTATTTCTCCTTTTAGTTGCATGTTTGACTCCTTTTCTTCCCAGAGCTGTCTCTCATACTTAATTTTAATTTCCATGATTTCTTGGTCTTCATCTTCATAAATTTGTTTTTTAATTTCTTCATGTGCTCGAAGCTGCTGCCTCATATCCTCCTCTGTCTGCAGTTTGGGACAGCAAACATCAGAGAAGACAATGGTAAGAGACCAATAAAGAAGAGGAGAATTCTTTATCTGTAACTCTGTTTCTCCTGGGAGGATCTATATTTAGTGGATTTGTCAATTGCTGCAATACCATTTAAGGTAAATTCTTAGGGGACTAACGTAACTTTAAAAACTGTTAAGACAAACATAAAAAATGTATTCTTTAAAAAACATATATATTCTTAAGGCTTGGATGCTTCAAGGCAGGAACCTGGCCCAAATACTAACACCAGCAAGCTTATTTTCTGCAGAAAATGCAAACATGGGTAACACTTGAGAAGATCTTTTAAAATTGCTGCTTCCAATGCATTAGGTCCAATAACCACTCAGGTTTACATCAGTCTCTGTATGCTTCTCACAGTCACTCCTCACATTCTTTCCAAATTGTTATTGCAACATAGGGCTGCAAACAGAATGTTGATAGAATTTATTGACTTTAGATATGTAAGTATCAGTTATCTAGCTGCCCTTTGTCAAGCCAAGTCCTTGACCTCAATGTGCAGGAGTTTTTGAAATACTCAGGGTATTTCTCTTTATTCCCCAAATTATGCCGGCAGGAACCTCAGGGACTTGGGAATGGAATTCACCATTTTAGAAACGTTATCTCTTCTTGATTATTCAATCAAGGTGATTGAATCTTTCTTTCTTCAATTACAGTAAATGTATCATCTAACCCACATAAAAAATCAGGGATTCTTGGATCTAGGAGAAAGAGAGGCAAAGCTGAGAATGCCCAAGGTTGTTAATCTTAGCAGGTTACTTACTCAAGTTATGAAGCAAGAGAAGTTGGTAACTCAGATAATTTTCCTTATTACTGTTCTACCTGTCAACATACTTCCCCAAGGTTACAGGCAGATTAGGATTTGCGTGGAGGGACCCCACCTCTGCTGTCCTAGGGAACATTTTCTCTTTGGAGCTGGAGATAAACTTGGTCAATAATTCCAAATGCAAATCAAGATTCCTACCTCTTTCAGCAGAACAGATTTCTCATTAAGTTTTTCCTCATAATATTCTGTTAGTTCCTTCATAGCCTTGCTTTTACTTTCCTCCAAACTGTGTAGTTGTTTCTCGTATTCCTCCTGCATCTTTTGGGATTTCTCATCCAGCTCCTGGTATTTCTCATTTTCCATTAAGAGTTTCTGATTACTGTCAGATTCTGGTAACAGATAACATACAGAATAAAACTAATAGAAAAGAGGTGTATCCTATCCTTCTACAGTTGTCAATGTCTTATTCTGTACTATCATTCTGGAAGCTGGTTGCAATAAGTTACAATGAAGATGCACTTTCTTCTTCAGATACACTTCAGAAGTTTTAGACTCTGTGGACATATAAAATTTTACATCAGGAAACCATCTCTTGAGTTTCCTGCTCTTTCTTTAACTTACCATCTCACTAATAATGCCTGTTCCAAAGCCATCATTCACTTTTCTCTGTTGTATCTCTGAATATTCTGCTATATCCCTGCTGAAAGGTGGTTTGTTCCAGCTTTAGCAAGTCTCAACCCTATACCAAAGTCTCTTGCTCTGCCATTACAACAAATTAAGAACAGCTAGTTTAGGCATTCCCTTGAGCTAACAGCCATGACAGAGCTATATAAGCACAACTGTTGGGTGGACTTGCTTTCTTGTACTTATTTGCAGTATTTCTGTCTTATCTTGTTTATGAATCTAGGGTCCAGGTATTTCCATGTTGTGTGCATTGTATATTAGCCTCTTTGCAACTGTATGATTTCACTATCCTTGCACAGTGAGCTATAAGATAAATGAAGAAATTACTAATCTCAAAACCCAAACATCTAAGATACAGTGCCCATGTGCACGTTCTCATCATGGTCATGTGTGTGTTTAGACAAATGCAGTTTAGACAATGTGTGGTCTGTAATACCTATATGACATTCATGCATCTTTCCTTGTCCTTGTAACTCTAGTAATCCCTCCCTGTCACATTACTTGCTATGAGTCTAACGCACTTCCTCCAGATTCTAATTACAAACACTTGTTATAGTCTAACCTAGCTTTTGCATCTCCCTGGTCTGTTTATCCATCAGCTCAGACACTTGCAACTGGTGTTGTAGTTCCTGGTTTTCTTTCTCTGCCTGTAAATTCTGGGGGGAAAAAAAAAAAAAAGAAAAATTTTAATTGAAACTAGGCAAAGCAGTGTCCAAATCGTTTGTGCTCTTGTCCATGTTGGGGAACGTATACACAACAGAAGTTATGTTTGAAGTCTCTTGCCAAAATTCAGATGCCATGTGTCACTAAGCCAGGTCTTCCCAAAGATTAGTTTGTTATGGTAAGTTACAGAACTACGGAAAGCTAAGGGAAGTAGCAAATGGGGTTCATATGATTTAGGGTACTGTACGATTCTAATCTAAGAAGAAAAGTTAGTGAGCTACAAAAGCCTCCACTTTCTTGTGTGTGTCTGAGGAGAATCTGCAGTTCCACAAACTGTTGTCCAGTACATTAAAGTCCAGGCTGCTTCCTGCCTCATTTGAAGCAACCTTGAGGTCCTAAACCACTGTATATGCATACAATGGCACATAGCTAAGCAAAAGCGAGTTTTGAATGCCATTTGCTTGGAATGTCCGACTACCACTAGGGGAGACTTACTTAATCTTCTAGAAAAGCACAAAGAACTGGAATAAGAAAACAGGTGAGAAATTTCCCAGAAAAGTTAGGAATTGTACCATAGGTACAATTTTTTCACTTTCTTCTAGTAACAACTGTGTGGGCTTGTATAAGCAGAAATACTCCACTGACACAACAACTAGAAAGGCTGGCCCCAAGCCTGTCAAAATCTGTCATTCAGCTTAATCTTAACAAGAAGTGATATTTTGGACAGAAAGTACAACTCGCCTGCCTAGAAAACTTTTATTCACCTTCAAACTCATTTGCTTGCAAGCCTATAATCAACTAGCCTGAAGAAGTTTCAGTGTAGCTGAGATTATTATGACTCTATGAAAGGACCTGAAGAACCACAGAATAGAAAACCAGCACAGACAAAAGAGAGGTAGAGGAATCTATAAGAACTGAAAAGGTTTTCTTGTAAAAGGTCAAGCTGTACAAAAATGAGGAAAAATAGAAAAGTTAAAACTCAGGTAGGTTACTTAAACGCAAAAACTACAATGAGAAAAGCTAAAGAGCCTGAGGAACTACTGGAAAAAAGCAGCAAAATGCATAATTGAACTTCCTGAAAAAAATCAAAATCAGAAACATGCTGGAACATTTGTAAGGCCAAAAGACAAGAAAGGTATAAAAGGAGCACCTGAAAATGACAAGACCGTAAAATAATAAATCTAGCAAGTAACTTGGCAAGCTTTCATACTGGAATACTTCTTTATGAAAACTGAAATACTGCTTGAAGGGACTATGTACAACTCAACAAAATAAGCAGTAACAAATCACCAGGATAGGATAATATTCATCCAAAAGCTTGAAAAGAACATAGAATCATAGAATCATAGAATAGT